TGAAATACCACCGAGTAATCTTAAGCGCCAGGTAGTTCGTAACCGCCTATATGACCGTCTATGTGCAACTCAAAATTGCATAATTTGCCCCAGTGGTAGAGACGGTGATTGCATGAGCTCGCGTATAGTTTATCTGATCTCCTGTAAGACGTGTGGCGACGAATATATTGGCGAAACGGGTAGACCCCTCTGTGTCCGCATGAAAGAACACCTAGCCGGAAAAAATAGACCAAATACCCCGCTAGGCACGCATAGGACCCAGAGACATAACAGGGAGGACTTCGAAGTATGTGTCACGATCCTCGCACGCGAATCAAGAACACAGGCGCGAAAAACTCTCGAGGCATTCTGGATTAATTCCAGAAATCCGAAAATGAACCGCAGGGAGGAATGCCTCATTATCACGCGTGATATAGGGCAGTATATAAAACTGCTTTTCTGATGTCAGGGGCACATTATACTTCCACGTGATTTCTGTGCGGTTGGTCTCTACGTGACATACTTAGTGGAAACCTCATAGAAAGCGGTGAGTGTGCAAAGCTGTGTTCAAAGTGATTGAAATCTTGGTTTGGAGTTTCTTTGTTTGGTTATAGAGGCGTCTGGCCGAGTGGATTGCTATCAACTTGACCTTTCCAGGTTCTGAGGAAGGCGAAATCCGCCGAAACGTCAGCTTAATCGTGAACAAAGAATAATAACACCTCGCGTTTGCTCAACAAAAATACGAAGAAAATTACTATCGGAAAAGAATGTTTGTGAAGCTACCTCGATATGTTACTGAGGAGAGTACATACAACACCTGTGTGGGGAAGGTCGGTCCTCATGAAATGATTTCGATTCACAGCGTGTGAATTTTGGCAGCCACATGAAATAAGGCGTCTGACCTCAAGCCTTTAAAGACATCAAAATGGAGTTTCTCATTTAAAAGAAAATAATTAAATACTATGGAGAATGAACCATCTATCAAAGTTGAATACTAAACGCTTGTCTAAGAAAGGAATTCATTTGTACTATATAATGATAAGATGTAGCCCTTACTATCTGAATCCTACTGCATTGAAATCAGAGGAGTGAAGGACACCATATCTATCATCATTAGCAAACCAAAAAAGGATCTACAATACTTAGAAAACGTTAAAACGTCACCATACAGTCTCGATCTACTAGTCAAACCGAACTTCTAGACACAAACAAATTTCTCAAAGGTAAAGACTGACTAGAGTAGTTATGAGAATTCCAACGATAAAACCACAAAGATGCTGAGAAAGGAACAAAACTCGGACCCTCAGTTGGGCTTCGAATCCTCGATTACCTTTGCCGAGAGCCCATGTGCTTTCCACCACGCTAGTCGAAGCCCTTGTATTGCCTTTCTCTCAACCAGTTGTTTTTACTCAGACAGTGCTATCGGCAATCATCCATTGATCGTCCCTGTTGACGTGGGTAGAAGTCCATCTGAGGTTCCGAGTTTTGCTCATATCTCAGCATCCTTATGGTTGTGTAGCACATAGTACCCTACATGAGAAAAAACAGTCAGTAAATAAAGGTTAAAACACTGTGATTCCAACAGTAGAGCTACTGCTTTAGTCTATAGACAGCCTGAATAAAAGTCGCCTTTTGAAAGTCTGATGAGAAATTTTCGTACCAATATTGATCCCTATAAATATTGGTGGCTAATGGTTGCAAAATTAGGTTATGATGAAAAGCAAGCAATACAGGGCACTGTATTTGATCAATAAGGACTTAAAAATGACTTGTATTTTGCAATAAATCGATTCGGAACAACAAGGTTCGTTATTACCTTTTCAAGATATTCTTTTAAGCCTCACCTATAGGAAGCATCAGCTATGTTTCCTCAGCAGGTTAGAACTATAAACTACGATCTAAAGGTCGGAATAACTAAATTTTTCACCAATTTTTTATGAAGCCATATTTCGATTCTGAAGAACGAGAGGTCCACTGAAACACTATCACTGCAAAGTAAACGTGATAACAACCTCGGATTACCGTGCACAACAAAAAATTCGTTCGTAAACAGACAACAACATCAGGCTGATATTAAGTCAATAATATTATTGTTAAAAGTGCTGGTATTAACAAATAATAGTATTCGAAACCTCGATAACAATCAAGTAGAGCTTGGAATCCGCAGCCGTTGCAGTGTTTTCGCATGGACATGTCTCTTCGCCGATTAAGTGATTTAAGGAATAGTTCTAGGGATATGTTAAATAACGATTTGATAAAATAATGGTGCAAAATTAAGTATACGATCACCTACATCTGACGAAATGCTATCAATTCTATGAACATTCTCATAGCTGTCATCCGGTGGCACACAGAATTGAGTAGCCGCTGATGCCGGACAAACTGCAGAACTCTCGCTTAGAGATTCCACCAATTCCACAAAGTGCACTAAAAGGTCGGTTTAGTAAAGAAGCGAACAAAATGCACAATAATTCCCACATATATTGAATTGAAATGGTACGTGCACATATTTACTTATATGTCCTTATAAACTGATCTTGTCCCACTCGTAACAGCATGGCTCTGGGGAAGGTAAGGTCGCCGAAACGTCAGCCATTGAACGACGACAACAACGACAACATCTATACCAACCTCGCATCGGCACAACAAGACCAGTTTGTAAGATCGTATAAATAAATATATCGATTATTTATGCCAATGTTTATAGAATGTGGGTTTTCTGAAGCACGTACACACTTGTAAACTAAATTGATTTGCTATAATGACGAAGAAACACTAAGCAAAGATCTATCTACACCTACTTTAAAGTACTGCTTATCTCACCTTTTACAAGTTCTGGGGGAACGGGTGGTTTAAACAACGAGATGCAATAGTTCATCGACAGTAGAAAGTGATCCTTCTAAATAAGGGAAGAATTACAGATGAAAAATCCTCTTCTGATTCGTCATGTAGTAAACGAAGAAAAAAGATCGCGAGCGACATGATGGGCATAGAGGATTTCGAAATCAACACCTGCAGTTACCAGCTGACTAACTTTTATCTCAGCTCTATGTTATTGCATCTTTACGATTACCAATTGAAACAATGAAAAAAATGGTTTTAGTACTCTCACTATAATCGGGACGAGCCTCCCAACGGTCAACCGCTTCATCGTGGCTAGGAGGTGTTCCTGGGTGTCAGGCTGCGACATACGAGGGATTCATCCCCCTGGCAAGGTCTCCCAAGCTCAGAAGGAGTCCGGTGTTTCCATCAGGAAGATTTCCATAAGAGTAAACCAATACCGGTCAGCCCATCACCGACCTGGTAGCAAACTAGTCGCATGGTGGCAAATCTCCCTTTAGTCCACAAGGGTGGCTACTGTCTATAGTGGTGAGGAACTGCGGCAGACTTTGACTGGGCTGACCTCAGGACTCCAGGGAATCACAAATGCCACACCAGCAACACTCAAAAAAAAAAAAAGAAATGGAGATTATGCTGGAGCTCGCACAACCAGTGAGGATAGGCCAACCAATTATCCAAGTAAGTAACTGGGACGGGAGGTTTCTGCCTCTATATGTAAACTCTAATCATGGATGAACTTCACTTTAAAGAGAACTAACCATACTGGTACTGAGACGAATTCCATGAATTTTCGCATTCTCGTCAATGCCAACATAAATATTTCCACCCTCCGTATTGAGAAATGCAGCAATCGTCCTGAATGAATACTTCTAGTCAACAGCAGGATTTTTGAATTGTGCAGGTGTCGTTTCTTTTCCAAGAGCAATAGCTGAAAACGAAATGCTAACCTGCTCAAGGGTTGTGGAGGGCGAACGGTGCCTTGAGCTAAATCCACACTATTCGACGGAATCTCAAAAGAGCAATGCTTATAATGTAATGTGAATTTTGTGTTCAAGTCTTCGGACAGCACACAACTCTCTCCTGCGTAGATACGTCTAGTTGTCATCTCTGTAAGTTTTAGGTTAAATCGAACCTGATATTAACAAATGTGTCAGCCAAAGCACAATGCATAGTGGTTGACCGCATCCTGATATCCACAGTAGAGGGCGGATAGAATTGACTAAAACACGACTATTTTAACCGCCGGCTCTGAGAAACAGTCGTGGTGGGACCTACACTATAAAGTTACAGTAATCACAAATGCATAGGGTGCTAAACAGTTTTCATATGTAAATAGCAGTTAACCCTATGCTCTTCAATAGTCTTCTCTTTATGCTGCAAATATTGGCCAGTTCTCATCAGCACTACTAAGTTGATATCTTCAAACATTGTTCAGTTCACATGAGGTTGTTATGGAACTTCTATTCCGCTAACGTTCCGAAGTCATCTGTTTCAGACGCGAATGATCTGACCTGATTGTCCACGGCAATTTGTCATCGTCATGTGGCTCGTCGAAGCATTGTCAAGCCGAATCTTCTGGTCTGGAGCACCGCTCCAATGAGAATACCACTCGATAGGGCACCTTTCATGCAGGAAGGTGGTTGCTGATACTTAGGACCTACTTGATACCTATTTGGAGTATTACACAGTGTGGAAACTATCATACCTTGCTTAAACTGCGAAGGTAAACTATCAGACCTGACAAGTAAACGAACGCCCCGCCCACTTAAAAGAAAAAGGGGCTTCATTTCACCGCTCTTTATCTGGCTCTTCTTTTTCTTTCATGTTGTTATTTATGTACTAGCTGGAGGCTTAACACGAATTTACAATGGGGACTCATAACCGAAAATGTCACATGGTCAGCGAATGAGTTCAACGTCTCCACTATAACATTTTACACTGTTCTAAATAAAACCATGCTCGTATGAAATGCTAAGATATTTGCAAATCTCCGGACCGCAGATGGTAAAACCATGCTGTCCAGAAGCCAAAATCCTGGACCAAATTTTCCTCCATGGCTTTGAATTCCATTTCTTCGTAGTTTTTCGTTCCCGTCTCTCATTATCTTTACCCACATGATATTCTTTCAGAATGTACTGCCACTGGTATATCCAGGTCCTTTTCGCGGTTAAAATTCTAAGTGGTAGAGAAATATAAAGGTGATAATATCATCTTGTCAGAAACTTATTTATCATGACAGATTTATACATAAGCATCACAAGATCATTCATTCTATTAGAAATTTATTCACCATAGCAAATTTCTAAGTGTTTGTTCTTAGAAAATGTTTTACGCTAAACAACAAGTAAGACATTCATTATGGAATGGATTTGCAAGTAAATACTGTAAACAACAAATTCTTTAACAATTCCAACAAATGTCAAAGTTATCTAACGACTGAAGGCGTTCTCTTTCCGATAAAATGACAACAGGAATAAATTAATAGTAATTATCACTATCTCCTGGCTCTGATTGATGCTTTGAGATGCACTGTCATAATGGAACCGCCCACAAATAAATTTGAATTTCCAAAACGGATTCGAACTAACAACAGAAACCATGGGTTGTTTACTCCACAGTAGACTGAACTCCGTATGCACGAGGATACCACACTTGATCGTTGCTCCAGCACTTCTCAAGGTCGTCGATAGCACAGGGTTCATAACGATCCACGAATGATTGAATGACACCTGCTGGCGAAGCATCGTAGGACAACAGTTTCACTTGACCTGAAACTCATCAAGCATTGAACTTTGGAAGAATGTCGCCATTCTCGGTAAAAGTTTGATAACCACCAATAGTGATTTGTGGATAGGATTTTAGAATGCGAACCGATAAATTCTATTAAAGTCAGCTTCCAAATGTCGAACACAACATATTAAAAAAATAAATGTACTACAACTCTGCTGTACCCATATCGTCAATCTTCGTGTTAGCTTGTACGAAAATTCGCCGGGGTTTGCGCCGAGCAACACAGATGTCACGCCATCGTATCTCTACATCAGTGACTCTGTCATAACGTTCAAACAACTTTGTGCCTCCCTCAACATCTCCAGTGGATTTGTAGGCCTATACAAACAAGTTCGTATCTATATTCTAATTCCTCTCTTGTTCTAAAACAAAATAAAAACATAAGCACAATGCAATCACTTTCACTTTACATGTCGAGCTCCTACAATCTTGGCAAAAAAAGTGCAAATGTGGAAGTTACATCAAAACTACGTAACATTTCAACTAATCCACTTTAATTAGTACTTATGAGAAATGAAACGAACCTGCAACTTAGCTAGGAACGAGTTCACCGCTGTGCGCCCTACAGAGTCGATTTTTGTGCGATCTAGTTTGAACATGAGATCAGGATTGCCGTCATTGCCCACGCATTCTGTGATAGTAACGAACCCCTGACCTGCTTCTAGGCATACTTTCGTAAGCACGTAGCGAGCGTGGCAGTGAGCCTAGAAACTTTCTAGTCGTATAACTACGGATTCGATTACAGAATGGAACTGTGGTATGTATTGATAAACCTAATACGAAAAAAAGCTACGAAACTAGATTCAGAGGAATTGCGTCAAAGACCCATTTTATATATGCGGTAATTAACAAGTGCAAAAATTTTATTTTAAAGAAAAGTAGTTTTTCGAGATCATGATAGTAAGATCAGTCGTATTTCTAGTTAACAAGAACAACACACCTGATATGTCATAGGTCACCATACTGAGCAAATCACACGACTACTGAAGAGCTCGAGTAATTCAATCACTATCTTTTACTTCTTATTTACTGTTTATTACCACTTTTTCACGGCAGGGTACGATGTGACATACACAACCACTATGATGTCAAGATATTCGCAAAACTTAGACCTCAGGCCAGATTCGAATCCGAGATTACCGTTTCAGGGGCTTCACGTGATCCACGGCACCACTGAAACCTTTGCCTTTGGCCTTCTCTCAACCAGTTTTCTACCCCATGGTGTCTTCAGCAATGATCCGAATCTGGTCTGGGGTCCAAGTCCTTCGAATATCTGAGCATCGTTGTGGTTGGATACCTTGCCGTGGAAAAAACTGTAATAGGCAGTAAATAAAAAGTAAAACACTGTGATTTCGACTACAAACTCAGCTTAACTGGTTCTAATGTCGATTTGTGCTCCCCGGATCATTCTCGTTGACAGGTGATTACTGACGGCACCGTTAGATAGAAAACTGGCAGCTGATCACAACGAAAGCACCGACATGATGAGCATGTAAAAGCATTTGGAATGCAATGACCAAACTTATGGGAGATGGATAGCGCAGTTGTAGTGATGCCGATCATCACGAGCACGGTGCTGGTTCGACCCAGCGCTAGGCACACCAACGCATTAATCCCTCCGCTATCGGGAAATTGATGCCGGACTTGCCTGGGAAAAGTCCACTCTCTGCAGTCCAAATCAGAACGCTCTCGCTTGGTTATCCCCGGTTTCCACGGAGAATCAACTCCTCCAACGTTCATCAACAAACATTATGACGAAAGAAAATCTTCGAGCAGCAGCCGAATCCAAAAGCAAAAATTAGAAAAGCTTCGTAAATGATGGGTGCTAGGAAATGCATCGAATGCAAAAATGTTGGGATTCATAGAGTAGATGTGAAAGATGGGTGGTGTATAGAAAAAATCTAAGCTTATATCTTCGCCAAGTTTGTTATCTTCGCCGGTGTTCCTGATCTAGTGTACGTCTTTTAACATGTCACTTAAGGGAGGATATTAAAGTGATTACCGTCTTCATGTTTTCTTCAACAGGAGCTCACAACGTTAAAGAACAGGTGTAACTCAGGTCGAGTCTCCCTAACAAAGAGAGTTTATTGAATTGTGTTGCCAAATTAAATGGTAGACGTTCCCATTTGAAATGAACAGTAAACGACAGCGATTATAACATAGTAGTGTACAGGAAACTTTCAGAGAAAACAACACCAAAGTGAAGAAACCATTCACACCTAATAAGAATTCGACATGGTAGAGAAAAGGGATAGTACACCATTCCTAAAACCAGTTACTTTAAAGATCTTTGGTACGAAACTCTTAATCGTGAGCAATGTGGCGTATCCCCAAGTGGTGGATGAGGTGTTGAATGAGGAAGAAAAATGTCCTTTGCTTTACTAAGACGTGGGTGGATCCTGATGGACTCACTGTTTCTGCTGCGCCGATTTGGCAAATACCTTCCGTGCTTACGAAGACATATTCATTCATGTGTGTGCTGGTGTGTTCTATCAGCTCAATCACTTGACGATCAAAGGGACGATAGGTGATACAGGTGATGGTACGAAGCCCATCTCAATGGATTCGCGCTGCGTCGCATTTTAGGGATGTTTCTTGATGTAAAACTACAGTATATAACAAGTGCTCTTATCAGAATCTCCAAGATGAGAAGTGCAGCATTGCCATTTGGGAAACTATCCAGGAATAACTAGATACCGTGGCGAGCTCCCAACTATTAATTTCTCTTGAAAAACAATGAAAAAAAACTTTACGGTACCGGATTAAAAATGTGATATTTCTCGCACTCATGTGGAACTCCGTTGAGGGACGACAAGTGAAGTTTACTGGTGCTCGCTCGATTTACTCAATGATTAGTGGGACCATGGGTCACAGATGCGATGGTGTAGAGATGCTCATTGTATTACAATACTGTAAAACTTCGGGGACTAATAAAGTTTACATTGTACTTCTTATACGAGAAAGAAACGACTTTGCAATAAGTGGGATAAAGGATAAAGGATAAAGTTCTCGGCGTCCAATCCCTGAGGGATGCACCGTGCATTCGACTTCATTAAACATCGTTTGGAGGTGAATGAATGTATATCTGGCCTTTACAATGACCCGCGACGGCCTGCCGATGTATCGAGCCAGCGCTGCTATCCTCCCAGAGAAATCTGGTACCAATTTGCCGATCCCGGAGGGATGGAAGGCTTGGTGGGCCATGGGCGCGGGGATCGATTCCACGTGTGTCGCAGTGCCGCCACCAACCACTGCGTCACACGCACCCTTAAATAAGTGGGATTGAAAGGTAATATGCCAGTTGATGAATGATGAGTTAAGACGAATGAATTACAGCTACTCCCAACAAGTGGATACACACAACTCGATCAAAATCCTCGTGGAGTATTACAGTATTACAGGGATAATTCCGGTAAAGGAACGTAGACATGAATATAAACGATTCTCCTTCATAAAATCGAACAAACTCAATCCCTCTTTTTTAAATTTCTTAAAACAGTATACGATAAACTTTCTCTTACATTTGAATGCATTCACAACTGTTTTCAACATCTCACCGCAACTATTTACAACCTTAGAAATCATGATCGCTCTGTATACATAGGAAATACATAACGAACTTCAATTGTTAGTGACGAAAAAATGTTATTCCACCAAATATTTACCTGCCCCCACTTCTTCGCTTCCGGAGAGTAAAATTCAAGGGCTAATAATCCAGCACGAATTTCATTTAGCCAGTTCACGTATTTCACTTTTTCTGCCAGCTCGTCTTTGAAGCCAAATATCCTCAAAGGATTTTTTTTCTGATCGTGACAAAGGAAACAACAAGTTCCAAAAAGTCAATAAGAAAAAGGAAAACTATATATGGATAGTTAACTATGCACTTTTGCTACCAAGACAATCAGTGTTGAGATAATTCAAGTTCGAATCTGTGTCCCAGCAAAAGAGAGCACAATATGACTTAAACGAGCGTAAATGTCTAAAAAAAAAAAGGTTCCAGAATAGGATTTCTTCTAAGAATTAGAAGAGAAAAGTGGACATGGTCGAAACTAAGTGGCGAATAACACCGGTCGGAGTTACCAAAGAAAGCAAATACTACAACAGAATTACATTTAATTGTGTGAAATCGACAAGTCAGAAAAAAGGACCAGTTCAAACACAGAGAAAACAGACGTTGCTATCGCAAAAGCCATGTCGGTTTTCAAAATTCAGCTTTTAACGCAACGGTCATCATAAGGATATACGAAGAGAACACCTGTAAGAAAATGTAAGGCACGACTTGCGAAATCATTGATCGCCGCATGTGTTGAACGTTTACTTAGAAACAGTCTACAACTTAGGCAAAGGAAAAAAATGCCTCATTGGAGAAATAGTGGAGTATCGAAACAGGTATCATTTGCACCCTTGCAACTGCACAGCGGAGTTTATTCTAACGTTTTCTTGTTTCTACTATGTGCCACAACTCTTCATATAAAAATTGCGAGTTTTGAAAATTCCATTAGACTTTTAATGAATATGACAATTTCGGTTCAGCACCAATCACCATCAAAGTCAAACCACCATCAAAATGCGTTAACATCGCAGTGGGAGCTTGCAAAAATATACCGTAAATATGTCCTTCCTAGTAAGTTATAAAATAAAATAAAATAAGTTATATTTAAATGATAATGCAAGGATCGGTTAGCGCTAGGGCATTGATTCCGTTCATTAGGCGGACGGCCCAACTTACCCAGGCGCTGGATCGGACCACGTCCGGTCCCATCAAGTCCCCATCGACTCAGCGGTCTGAAAATTTGTACCAGATATCTTTGAGCTAAGCTCACCTTCTCAAATCCAAGTGAGAACGCCCTAGCACAACTAGGAATCCAAGGAGAATCTACTTGACCACCAATCAACGGCATTTATGATGAGAACGGAATCCTCAAGCAGCCGAATCCACACGGAAAAAGTTCGGAGACTTTCGTAGGTGGCGAATACGAGAAAACTAATCGAATACAAGAAGCTCTAGGATGTGCTCAGTGTTCTACAAAATAGATGATTAAGAAGTTACACGACCAAAAATTGAGCACTTGGTCTAAAATGAGTTTTGAATAAAAGCATTGAAGGATAATTATATAAGAATATTCAGAATAAGGTTCAAAATGAACAAGGTTTCAAAAAGTTTGGACAGGGTTCAGATACATGATTATTTGATCATACGTTCTAACAAAGCGATTAAGCTGAAGTCGGAAGTAGAAGACACTAAGAGAAGTCCTCTACACACGGGAAATAGTAAAAGGTAGAATGCCAGTTCACTTAGAACTGTAGTCAAGGCAACGATCAAGAGCTATGAATTGCCAACAAAATAGAACAACATCGGACAACGTTAGAGAGAAAAAGGAATCGAAAAATGAGAGAAAGTCTTCTTGATGATTTACAAGCGCGACAGCACAAAACAATAGGAATAGAAAAATCTCACTCTAGAATGTCTGCATCGCAACTTAGTACGTATCCTACCGCTTCAGCACGACATTCTTCATAAGCTCCTGACAGTGGTCCAAATTTAGATGACCAAGTCTCACCGGGCTCATACCACTTAGATATCTATGAATACCAAATAAATAATAAATGGGATGCTAAAAAACTCCAAAACGCACGTTTTCGGTAGAAAAAGAAATATTTACCTCATGATTGTTTAATAGATGAAATCTAGCTATACGTCATCCCTGAGCATCAATTTACTCACCGGTTGAGCAGTGATAAGATCCTTCGTATCTCTGTCAAAATTGAAGGTACCATCCCGATTTTTTTGAAACAATTTCCCACTTCCATGTCCAAGTAGTTCATGAAGGCCAACTTGAACTTCAAACGAATCCTTGTGGTACTGGTGCAATAAGTCCTTAACAGCAAACTCGTATTAGAAAAGACTGAAAATTCCAGTAATATAATTATTTCGCACCTCATCTTCTTGGCTAATAAAGTTCATTTTTTGCTTTGGTGTAGCAGCAATGACATTCCCTAAGGATACGTTCTTGAATCCCTCATTTTGCCGAATATCATCATCTAAAACTACGTTTTAAAAGAAACTGCAGAAAAACACTAGAAAAGAACGAGTAGCCTTCAGTTCTACAATAAGTAACAGCATACTGTTCAAAAGAGTAAACCTCATACAATTGGGAATGTTGATTCCTGATGGAAGACCACTGCTCGCAAACGCTAAAACATCCAGCGATGTGAAATCAGGCTGAAATAGAAAACGCTATACAAGGTAGCAAAGAAACTAAAAAGATCATTGAAACCACCTTCAGAAATTGATCTTTCTCATACGCTTTTCCCCACGGTAGTCGTTTCAAAATCTCCTCTGCTTTGCTCACAAGAGTCTTAAACTTCTTTGATGTCTCCTTATTTACGCATGCCACAAATCCTCAATTTTAACATTACTTCAACAACGGCTTATAAATCACTAGTATGTCACCATATAGGCAGTAACTGCAATGTGATTTACTACCGAAGATCCACAGTCGTTGTCAAAAAGTAAAAAAAAGAATGAAATGACCAGCACTGAAGGCAAAATATGCATGGGTAACCAATGTCACTGCTTCTTGACGATCTTATAACTATGTTAGAAATCTCTATTGTGTCACGTCTCGGTATTTTTCTCAGATCTGTGACGATTCAAGTGCAGTGCTCAAAGCAGATTTTTCCTCGTGGATTTTTGATTCTACCTCATGTAAGTTTATCAAAAAACCAAGTGGTGTATCCGGAAGCTAAGTGAAAGTCAGTAGTGAAAAATCTCCATGCGATTATTTAGCCTAGTTTTTTAGCGCTTAAATGAAGAGTAGAAAGCATCTTGTAGGGATATAGGGCGTCAATTAAAAAATGGTAAATAAAAACAGTAAATCATGAATTACCCTCGAACTCGCTTCTCGTTCCAGCTGGATCTCTATAATTTTCAATGAAACCGATGTAGCTCTCGATCACCGGCTCACTATCTTGAATCCACAATCGAGAGCCATCCTAAAAATAGTGGACAGGGCAATCGATAGCATACCCATCACTAATCAACCACAACTATATACATTGCCACATATATGAAATATTGCTCGTTCGTTGCAAACTTCGCTACTATCAGTGGCCTAAAATGATCCGCACTTCGTTTGGCTGCTCTCTACCAGAAAATAACTCTAAAGAAGACCGAATAGTTATAGAGTGCTATTTTCTTCTCGCGGCGAAAGAAACAGTGCTAGCAAAGAGCATTACGAGTAAGAAAGTGAAGTGCACTGTAAAGTAACTTCATTGGATGCGAATGAAGAGAAGGAAATGGGGAATATGTAAAGAAATGCATTTAACATATCAGCAACGATACCCTTTTCTTGATAATTATTAAATATCTAAACTATTTGAGGATCTGAAGACTTGAATGACATGTTTTCAACCTATTGCGTCCTCAATTCAGATTTCCAGTAATAAGCCTTAAAGTTTTGTCATATTCCCAATATTCGGATAACAGCATTGGAAGATACCCCTCTTCAATTTCTTTGCTGGCTAGAAAATAACCTCTAACAATAAAACCAAATAATAGATTTCCTGGACTGGCGAAGCTTCTCAAAACATGGCACCACATGCTCATCAAGTTCAGAATGGCTGAAAACAGTTTTATTCGTGAAGAATTTCAAGTTCAAGCTAAGCCAATACTTTGCTGGTTTGAGGTGCTCTCCTATAGGCACAGCCTTGATACAACCTTGCTCCAGGGCAAACAAGGTTCTCTGCCCTCCGGTGTCCGTAAAGTGATACGATAGTAGCAGACTTGTCGGAAGGGTAAGGACCTGATAGACTGCTAGGTCGTCGAAACTTATCATATAGATCAAATATTAATTCAATCACCTCTGTCATATTTAACGGAGTTCAGTGCATGCTCCATACCTAAGGAGTTGATCAATGCTAAACATTTTACCCTTTATCCTTTTACCTCACTTTACAGTTGGCTTCAATGAGACAAAAACCATTAAAATCCACAAATATTTAATAAAATATGGGATAACTTATTCCATCACGATGAAATTCCAAATTTCTGGAGTCCACACAGTTTCTCTGTCCCTATTTCTCATCACCGAAGCATGGTGCTCTTCATGAAGCGAAACGATTGAAGGGTTCGGCTTCACCGGGATGTGATGGTTACCACCAATGTGGCCCTTCCACGCACTTGAATTTTTAAAAAAAACTGTGTAATCATTCCCAAGACTGACCTCCTATTAATCTCAGCATCACTAAATAATTTACTGTTTTCTTGGGAACAAACACGAGATTTTAACTTATCATTTACTCCTTACTCTTTTTAACGGGAGGGTATAAATTGCGAAATATAACTTCAATGATGCTGAGATATTTGCAAGACTCCGGACCGCAGGTGCATGCGGTGGGGAACGAACACCCTATTGTCCTTTCCGGGGAGTAGCGCACTTCACCACCACACCATGCGGGTCCGTCGTTTGGCCTGTCTCTCAGCTAGTTCTGTCGACCTTTTGACGTCAGCAATCACCCGTCAGCGGGATTGATCTGGTGAGCCCAAATCGGCAACGAACCCAGTTAAGCTCAGGCCGCAGTTATAATCACAATTTTAACCTATTATTTACTGCCTACTCTCTTTAACGGCAGGGTGTATATTGCGAAATGTAACTTCAATGACGCTGAGATATCATTGGAGTTAAACACTAGATTGCTACATTATTTATTCACAATAGCTAACATTTCAGCGCGTGTAGCGCAGTGGTCACAGGCGCCCTACTATAGAAATGGAATCGATCCCCACATCCAAGGCTCAACAAGTCTACCATAACTTCGGTCGGCAAATTGGTACCAGATTTTTTTGGGAGGATATCAACACTGGTTCGATACACCGTTAAGCCACCGCGAGTCATTGTAAAGACCAGATATACATTCAACCACCTCCAAACGATGTTCAATGAAGCCGAATGCATGGTACATCCCTTAGCGACTGATCAACGCCGAGAGGTTTTCAGCTTCTAACGATTCGACGCATTTCTCCTCTTTCACAGTTACTTAACGATGGAGAGCAACAGCAGACAGTTTACATAAAACCTCTGAAAATGGTCAAATCCGCTTAAACATCAGTTACCGTAAACAAACAACGTAGTAACTACCTTGTCTGTGTTCATTAAGAAAACAATGAGCCATTTTAAAAAATGATGTTTGCAATTATCACTTTTCAAAACTTTAGTTGGGAGAACAGTACATTAGTAATTCCAAGTCAAATTTTAAATCAGTAAATATCGGATTCAGCAGAACGTTGATAGAACCGGATCCAACACACACGCCTACGACAGTTCATGTAGATTTTTTCTTACTCTGCACGTATAACAACACTTTCCTCAGAAGCCAAACTTCACGGCTGTTGTGAAGTTGCAGATCTCATCAAATCACACGTAATAGATCTATAAAGAAAAGGAAAAGGACTGACATCCGCAGATTGAACAACAACAGGTTACTTGTCAATCGTGTAAGAAAAATATGACTATGGGAATTCAGTGACGTATGCTTTGACGTTCTTGTGCTGGATTATTTCCTCCGCCTTCTACTAACACGTCATAAAAATGCATGCGTCCCCAAGGACGACTACGATACAAGTGTACAAGGTCCTGTAGTCCTTAAGTACACTTACTATCGATAAGTTACCCGTGATTATGGAAAAACCAACATGCCCGAGATTAGAAAAAAACAGGCGACATAGTGATGTAACTTAAAACAATGCTGCCCGAATTTAGAAACGAATCTTAATTGACACTGGTTAACTAAAAAGGAAGAAATGCTCAAAAATCTGGATACCTTGTGCAACTTGATATCGCCCTCATTAAAGTGTTCGATGTATTTGGATATCATTTTCTTCTGCGTGTCATTCGCAGCTGACTGCAGAGCCTTAAAAAACCTCTTAGTTTTCTAATTAACATTAACAAGCACGAAAAGATCAGTAAAAAATGACACTTTAGTTAACATAAAAGTGTAAACGTTGCATTGTCTTGTTATATTTGAAACTTATGGCCAAACCACAAGGATGCTGAGATATGAGCAGAACTCGGAACCTCAGGTCATTCCTCAGCATACTTGTGCTTGTATTTCACGTAATACCCTGCAATGAAAGAAGAATTGCCAGCAAATAAAAGATAAATCATTGCAGCCAAACCTTTTTTAAAGACTCGCATGTTCTCGTCATCAATGGAGAATAGTCACCTCGTTCCCTAACCACAATGAAATCCTCAAATTCCTCCTCTATAGCGCCATCTGTGATCATTGTAAAGCGATTATAATTCCATTCTAATGAAAGCCGTTGCAAAAAAAATAATTTTGAATAGTTTTAATTACGATGAAACTGATATTAGAAAGGACTCCACTATAGGTGGAAAACCAGTTGGCTTTTTGGGATAACACAGTTCAGTTACAACAAAAGTATTTTATTCTCATACCAGTTTTAACGCTAGCTAATTTGATGCGATATACAGTCTTCCCATTCTTCGGTTTGGCATCTTTGAACAGTCGGGAATTCCAGGACTCAATACGACGAGCCTTTAAATTATCATTGCTGTGAAAAGATCCCATAAACAGAAATAATTTGCCTAAATACAACATGGGTGCAAATGTCATACCTTAAGGTATCTATCAACTTTTTCAGCATCTTCTTTTGTGATGTTTTCACTATGGTAGCAAGTTACCCCCTAAACGCAAAACAATGTTAAACGCTATGAAACGCTATTACTAGTACAGAAAACAGAGGATATAAAAAGAAGTATAAAGTATATAACAGTATAAAGAATACAGCTCTTAGCATCAGTCAATTCCTGAGAGATGTGCCATGCATTCATGACTTCACGAAGCATCCTTGAGGTGATTGAATGCATATCGGCCCTTTACAATGACTCGCTCTGGGCTGCCGATGTATCGACCCAGTGCTGCTACCGTCCCACACAGGTCTGGTAGCAATTTGCCGAGTCCGGAAGAATGAAAGACTTGATGGGCCTAGGTCAAGGGATCGAATTAATAGCCCACTTGCGCATTGCAGGGCACCTGTTACCGCTCCTCTACACGCGCTGGCATAGTAGGGGATATTGTAGAAAATTAACGTTCCTCCGCAATTTCTCATAACAAGAATTTAAAAAAGCTTCAATGACATTGGTAGCCAACTTTAAACGCTAAAGAGTCAATTCTCAAACAACTGTACTACACCTCGTTCCCAAATCCCAAACGTAGTTGATAAGTACTGAGAGAGCTCATTAATGGTTTCACAGCTTCCCAAGTACAAATGAACGAATGCGATGATTTCGCTACTTCAGACGATCTTAGAAGAGCATCGATTTTCGACTAAAATAAAACTACGGAGCTCAAGAACAAGGTTGGAAAAAAGAAGTTTGATACACTACCACATCTACGTTCGGTATAATTTTTGTATCACCAAATCCTCGGTAGTTCCCATTATTATAGTAGAACCCAGCAACGTACGTCAAGAATCCAACCCACTCTTCTTCTGTGAATCCAACTTTAAATGCCATTTCTAGAAAGACAATAACATAATGTTAGCCGAGGGAAAAAGAACGAACTTAACTTGACCTTTAAGTTTTTCGATACTGTCAGACTTAAAAAATCGATAGAACGTTACGAATAGCCCTGCAGACTCTGGAGAAACCTAAAAACTTAGTTTTCTAGAGAAATTTAGGGAAAACAACTAAGTTCCATAACAAATCACCTGTAGAAATACCGCTAGTGCACCATTGAACGATGCCTCACTCAAGTAATGAGCGTATTTTTTCTCTTTGTCCGTCAAACCTGAATTAGAATAAGGGAGATCAAATCGAGGTGCTCTAAAAACTCACACAGGTGGAAAACACTAAATTCATAAGTCGGGTCTTAACTGCAACAACGATGTAAAAAAAACCATGTATGGCCATTAAACTTAACCCTTAAATGCAAAATCGGTTTAAAGAAAACATTTATGGTCATTTAACTCAACCCTTAACTACAAAAATGGTGGAAAGAAAACATTTTGTCAAACTTAAAGAAATTGGTGCACCGTCTCGGCCCAACTTTATCCTGAGGTGTAAAAAGTTCTCTATCTATTCTGATGTCCACAGAAAAAAGAAACGGGCAAAACAGTTAACAATCGATAGAAAACGAAGATACCTTTAAAAGCAGTTTCACAATCGAGCGAACAGACCGGCGAGTCGTTTGGAAGTATGTAAAGTGATTTGTCAACCGATGTACTCATTATCCGAGAGCTGGACTGGGATAAGTACTGTCTGAAAAACTAAACAGACCATAGTGTAGTCTGATAGTAGCCGAGAATATGAACTTAGACTAGAACATACATTCCAAATGTATGTTCGGCACTATTTTCCAGCATACTCTCAACAGCACTCAACAAATTAATGTTTCTATCAGAACATAAGGAAGTTGAAATGAACGAAATCGCAAATAAAGTTGTTTATCCCGTCACTTCAGTACGGTGAAAAAGTGACGGGATAGCAGAACGAAAGAGCTACAAGCATTTCAACGATTCGCTTTAAAGAACAGCAGAGAAACAACTTGGGAAGGTAACACATCCTGAGATCTCATGAACATCTCATCTATACTGAGCTGAACTAAATCGATTGAAATTGAACCGAACTGAATCGCATCGGAAGATCGAAAGAATGCGCTCACTTTCCTACTCGCTTAAGAATGGATTTAGAACGATGATAGAAAACGTGCCCTGTTGAAGTGATATTGTGGAGGACGTGAAGGACAACACCGGACGAGTTCGGCGAGATGGACGACGATCCGAGAAGTTTCCGAAGACGTGGCACAAGTGTTGACGACCAACGAGACGGAAGTGTTAGAGCCGTAAGAGAACCAAGACGAAAGGATCTTGCTGAATATGAGTACCACATCAGCGGGTAGTATGAGCAGTAGTGGCCACCGTCTGTGAACTCAAACCGGAACAGGACCGAAGAAAAAACGATTGGGGCATAAAAGTACGATCGACGAGAGAGAGAAGCGAAACAGAACAAAAGCCTTGGAGCAAACATATGACCCTGGGATGACTGCTGAGGGCTCGTCGTTCCCGAATGGTTAGCAGTAGTTAGTAGTTTGTTTTTGGTTATATTTAAAATCTACCATCCACTATTGCTTCCCGTTTGCTAGCGAATACCATCAGGAATCGTGCAGTTGAGTAACCCAGGAATGCTTTTTTATTTAATATGCTTGCATAAGTACTGTCACTTAAGAATAGAAGAACAGTTCTTCTCTGCTTCGATCGATATCGATGCTTTGCTCAACTCTGTGATAATCGCAACAGTGCCTAGAGGCGTAGTGAGTACATTGAGTTTTATCCCTGTTAGAGTGACGCGATGTTTATTTACCAATTCAACAAACTGTGACGGAATTTTTTCCCTGAACCGGCGCTGCTCTTGTCCCTAGCTTGCTTTCGAGGAAGCGGGGGGGGGGTTATAAGGCGTTCATTCCTTGGTTTCTACTCTCATCATACAGCGTTTTTTTGTCCTTAACATAGATTTTCGATATCCATGCTTATTAATAACGTTAGAGGAAGTCGCTCTTCTCCAGAGCCGCACTGATTCGAGTCGAGTGTCCACAGCAGTGGGTTTTTGCGTTGAGAGTCTTTGTAGTCGAATCGATAGGAATTGGCAGTTCCAGGTCTTTTTCTATCCAGTGTCATCTGTTTGCGTCGTCGATGTTATCGACAACGGTATTTTCCTAACATCCGACTAATGAATTGAATACATCCCAGTTTATGGTGGTTCTCGGACTTCGGTTTTTGAATTTAGCGGTTTTTTCTCCTTTCCGCGAGAAATGGAACCTTGCACGAAGCAGGCAATGGCCTGATCCCGTATAGAATTTTGGGCCAATAGCGACATCGGTCAGGCAAAACCGGTCGGCTATGATGTAGTCTATTTCGTTATTGTACTCTCCACTGGGAGACCCCCAGACCAGCGTTGAGGGTGGGGCTTCTGGAATTGCGAGTTACCATTTATTGTCTTGGTCATCATGATAAACTCAGACAGCCGCTCACTCTGTTCGTTTCATTCTAATCCATTGCTTTCAATCTGTGCTTGTTCAAACGGCTTTGTTGGCCTAATCTTGGCGTTAGAATCTCCAGTGATAACCTTGGAGAATGTATGGTCTTCTTTGTGTAACTTCAGCAAGTCCGTATAGAACGCTTCGACTTCTTCTTCGTCATAATTTTATGTCGGCGCGTAAACGACGAAGATTGTCAAAGCCGGAATTGATCCACACCTCTTTAATCGTAAACGTCCGATTCAGGCTGTAAGTTGTTCGAATGAATCGATGTTCATGGACAAACTCATGTTGACGAGAACGCCGACTCTTCTAGTGTCGCATATTCCTAGGAACAGTTCTTCTCCGGTGTCATAGGTGGTGTTGAAAGGCTGGCGTCTTCTCGTCTAGGCCAGGCCGATGACGTCGTACTTTACCCTACTTGCTTGCATGAGCAAGTCTTCTATCGAGGACTCGGGTGCAAGTGTACGTGCATTGTAGGTACAGATCGTCACAATAGTTCCTTGAAATCCAGGCAGCTTCCATTGGCTCTGAGATTTTAGCAGCGTCTCTGTACTCACCTTACCCAACGATGCGAAATTGGTGGCTCTTTTGGGTTCAGGGGAATGAGGCCCGTTTTTTTTCACTGTGTTTAGCATTTTTGATACCCACGTATAGCTTGCTGGGCTAGGCTAGGCTGGAAGGCTAGGCTTTTGGCCGAATTGACTCGCAGAATTCAATCCGCATAAGCAAGAACGCACCTACACAGGCATGCATGAATACGTCTAGCAGATACAGAAAGTATGTGCCAAATCAGCGCTACAGAAATAGGAAGTCCATCTCCTGGATTCATCTGCGTCTCAGGGAAGCAAAGGTCACTTTTGGTCCGTGATTACCCCCCTATCTACCACCAAGGGACGCGCCATGTAGTCTCGCGACTAACCGGCTCGAGATCCCTCATATAAGGGAGATCCGTGGGGAATGGGATAATATGGGAGTGAAAATCGATGTTCGGCAGTTACACCGTCTTCGCTTTGCTGATGACATCGTCCTTATAATACCAAACATTAGCCAAGCGGAACGTATGCCTGGCGACTTTGAAGAAGCCTGTGGAAAGGTTAATCTTTGACTAAATCTCACAAAAGGCCCCATTCACGGTCAGCGGAAGAAATATCTCTAAATGCTCCAGTTATGTCTATCTAGGTCGGAAAATCAACATAATGAACGACTTAGCTCCAGAGTTGAGCAGAAGGAAACGAGCGCCTTGGGGAACTTTCAAGAGCATCGAAAAAACCGTGAGGAGAACAAAGGACATCCGCCTCTGTGCCCACAGAAACCTGGTCGCTGCGTAAACAGGACGAAAAACCATTCAGCATTATTGAACACGGGGTCGGAAAGACGATGTCAGGAGTATCCCGTGTCACGCCACTAAGCGAAGAGATTCGTAGAAATCAAAGATGCTGTTTCATGCGCCAAACAGTCGAAAAGGCGGGTCGAACGCGTAATGCGTATGAGCAACAACCGATGGACAAGAGTCGTTAGTGACTGGATTGCTCGGGATGTCAAACACACTGCAGGAAGACCACCAATCCTATGGTCAGAGTTCATCACAGAGAGCCTTGAAGAAGGATATGATGATCGACGAGTCTCTAGAGCGGGCAGAACGCACTGGGTTACTCTTGCACGCGAAAGGGAAAAGTGGAAGATTTACTGGCGCCCGCTCGTGTCACTCGACGATCATCGGGACTACAGGTGATAGAGTAGTGAAAGGTACAATGGGGATGGTTTTGTAAGGTTTACTGTTTTTGCTATTGCAATAGATTGTTTTGTTTTTCTATTCAAACTTTTAAGTTTTCTCTGGTTCTATCTATTTATATTTGAATGAATAGGGTTTAGAGTTGGCAACTTAGGTTTTAAAGTGTTGGCTTTCTAATCTGAAAATATGCATTCTTTCTTGATAAGCTTGCACGAGGTTGATAAATACATTTATTTTCGGCTAACGTTTCGACGTCTTCGTCTTCCTCA